AAGGAAGAATAGTATGTCCTGCTGTCGGAGATTGAAGTCACCGCCGTCGCGACCGCTGGTGCCAAGAACCAATGTTGGGTTTGTCCTAGCAGCAGAGATGAGCGAGTAAATGAGTTGCATTTCGCGCTATTGAAATGCCGATGCCGTCCGTCGTTGTCCACCGAGAACGACCGCCCGTACACGTACACGCACGGAGTGGCGTGGCTCCTACCACCTGCTCGGGCTCGCTAGTACTACAAGACCGACGCCGTGCACGACAGACATGAAAAATATACTCACATACAGTACTTAGCTTGTGTCTTAATTCATGCCCACTCACATTCGATGATGATTCTTCGTACTCACGCGACCAGTACAGTACTCCTATTAGATGCGCTAACAAAAGGGTCAAAACAAGCGAATCAACATGTAGTTGAGTTGGTTAGGTAGACAGTGGTACTCCTAACCCATCAAAGTTCAAATCCTGATGCTCGCAGTATTCCTGGATTTATTTCAAGATTTCCGGCGATGCGCTTTCAGTGGGAGGAAACGTTTCCGTCGACGAAGAGGCGCCTACGGTGATTTCCGGCGATGCGCTTTCAGTGGGAGGAAACGTTTCCGTCGATGAAGAGGCGCCTACAGTGACTTCGTAAATCTCAAGATGATATGCCGGCTCAGTCTCTCGGAGATGCTCATAAGGGTAGGGTGTGCGTGCGTGCGTTCACAGGGATGAGTGTATGCGCGTGTATATGAGCGCTTGTGTCTGTAGTGATGCTAAAAGAAAGGATCAAAACAAAAAAAACACAAAAGGGCGAGCCTGGAACACTCTCTCTCTCTCGGTTAAAGCTGACTTTCTGCCTCCACTCCAAAAAAGGGTCTCCGGAGCCAGAAACGCCCAAAACGAAAGCACGCGCGACGCCACGGACGCCACCCGACCAGCGGCCGCCGCTCATCGCTCCCTCCGCCCGCGGCGCCAGAGCCGGCCCGACCCCCCACGACCCGGGCACCGCCGCTGGAGGCCACCAGCTCCCAGGGAGCGCGGCCGGCCCGGCCCCCCCGCGCGGCGGCGGCGGCGGCGGACGACGCATATTCCTCTGTTTCTTGGCCGACGGCAGAGGAGAGGGGCGCGGCTCGGTCGAGGCGATGTGGGGTGCCAGGGGGGAGGAGAAGGCCGGCGGCGCCTGCGAGGAATGGAGCTACCAGCTGGGGAACAAGGTGAGATTTGTGAAATCCCTCGTATGGATCCCTCTGGGTTCCCTCCCTTCGATTGAGGGAGGGATTCCTTCTTTTGGGCGGCGTTGTTTCTCCTGCGAGTTCGTTCCGGGCGTCATCTCAGCTGCCCCTTCCGGCGCAGCTCATCATCCGGTTTGGCTGGTGCTTCTTTCATCGCTTTCCTTCCACGCCGCGCCTCTAAACTTCAAATACGGCGGATCTCGGCAGCTCCAAATTCCAAAAGAGATGTTTTTTACTTGACCAGCGCCGGGCGATGCGGTCAGATCCAGAATCCAAATTAGTTCTCCATTCTCCTCCTTTTTGTTTACTTAGTGGAGTACAGTACTACTTTACATAGTATAACACTTGAGCTTTTTCTCCGACATTCCGTTTCTTCTTTTTGGTCCAAGTTTTCTTTCTAGTACAGTAGTATAGTACATCTTGTTCCATTCAATACAGTTATGGAGCGTACTTGATCCGAACGTTTCTGTTGATGAACAAGTTAGGAAGTCTGTACTTCTCTTGTTTAATTTCCGTATTCATTGCACAGGTTAGGAGTAGTTCGGCTGGCTAAAGTAGGTAGTCGTTTATTTTGCCATCCATGGCTATTGGCTGCCCGTTCCTACTTTTAGGTCTGATCTGATTATTCTTTGGGATAATTTTTTTTTGGAAAGCTGTGTGTTCTGATGTTGCTGCTTGTTTTCCACTCTTAAATTTTAGTAGCTCACTGCATTTGCTATTTTGATAGCGAACTCGTTTTTCCTAGCTGAAAAATGAGTTGGAATAGATCTTCAGTGGAGTAACGCAGTTTCCAGATGGAACATTCAAGATTTGTACTTACTAGTACACAGCAAAGGGGATCTTTGGCTCCTTGTTATATGTTCCATTATTATTGGTGAAGGAACGCAATCATAGACAGTACATGGACCATTTAACCTCAAGACCTGGTAGTACATTGAGTGATTGAGTAAAATTTGTTTAAAACCTTTTTACAGCCAGGTGGAATCGAATCACAGACTCTCTGTCCCTGAAATTAGCACCATATAGTTACCGATCCTTGTCAATCTCGGCGAGGCGACCCTGGTATGCCAAACAAGTTTTACTCCTATAAGGTCCGGATTGACCGGGTCAGGAAGTACACAGTGCTAGTTTCAGGAATTGGGAGTTCAGGGTTTAGAACATATTTTACTCTAGTAGATTTTGTTCAGTATCTTATCAAGCCTAAATTAATGTTTTCCGAGGTCATCATTTTTGTTTATTTTGACTACATTCCTTATTCCTCTGAAGGATAGAGTTAAGGAAAAATGTCAGATTTGGAATTCTAATAGCTTTGATTAGCTATTTATTTTGTTTAAAACTTGAGCTGATTGCAACTTACTTACAGGATACGCTGAGTTTGAAAGCTCCAAAGAAGTCGCCCCTTGCGTTGAGAATGGTTGTTCTCACCATGACTATGATCTGTGGGGTGTTTATTTGCTCAATGTGTATGAAGCAGCTAGGAAGCGACAGCTGGTCAAGGATAGTGAAGATTCAAGTTGCAGAACAGTCCTGCAATAAGTCTTTAGTTCCTCCTTCTGAGGTTCAGTTTGTGCATTATCCGCAACCACTAAATTACAGCAGGTGATATTTGTGCTAAAGCTCGTTTGAGCTATCTACATTTGGCTTGCATAATGATGTCTGATGGTAATTTTATTTTGTAGGAAAGAATGCACCTGTACCCCTGTCCGCTTCTTTGCAATTATCTCATCGCAGCGGTCTGGAAGTGGCTGGTTCGAAACCCTTCTAAACAGTCACATAAATGTTAGCTCTAATGGAGAAATCTTCTCGAAGAAAGAAAGGAGGAGCAACATTTCATCTATAATAAAGACAATGGACATGGTCTATAACTTGGATTGGAATAGTAGCGCTTCCAAGAATGAGTGCACTGCTGCTGCTGGCTTCAAATGGATGCTTAATCAGGTGATGATTTTGATCAGTTCTTTTTTTGCTTCATTCTTTTTATGTGTAGGCATCATTATGAGGTTGCTGTTAAAAGCAATATACACATGTTTTTAGAGCTGTTTAGGGTATTCATGTTAAAAGCAATATACTTAGGACGTCTGCTTGCTGGTTAAAGAACTGTCCCTTGCATTCCGTGAATGCTCTGTTATGTTCACATTGTACTCATAATATATTGGTTTTCTTCCTGATTTTTGCATCCTGTTCCTCTTCTCAGGGAATCAGGAATATTTTAACCTTGAATATCATTGCGCAGTCTCCCTGAGTAATTTTGCCAACTAACATATTTTCTATACAAAAGACAATTGTGATACTAGTTTCTCTTTATTTATTTCCACTACTCCATAGTACCTCGATGGAGCATATCAAATTACATTTTATTTTGGACAGTTTACAATCCTATGCATGGCTACATTTCTATTTGCACTGACTAGATATTGGCAATGCTTATACTGTCCTGTATAGTCCATTTCTTGTATGACTGTGTTCATTTAAATATTGGTCCTTTTTTGTGTGGAACTCTGGATGAGGTCGCATAATTCTGAATTTTTTAAATATAGAATATTTTATGTCTAACTGATTGCAATTGTGATGCTGGTATCTTCAGAATGATAAGAGCGAGCATCAAGATTGCTATCAATTGTTGATAGCATTTTGATTGTCTGTTAACCTTCTGAAGATATCAGCATTCTGAGAATTGGTGTCCATCTAGATCCTCCATGCAAAAAAATTCAAACTACTGTTATCTGAGATTTTTAAGTGGTATGCATATGGACATTCTTACTATCTCCATGGTATCTAATTTCCTTCAAGAGTAGCATATCAGTCCAATTAGTGTTTTTGGGTAGACATGTTAAATTTTGAGTCATGTACACAGCTTAACCCTTAAGCAGAATAAGCATTCTTCTGACTATATATGTCTTCAGGGTCTTGTGGCAAATCACGCTGCTGTGGTTGATTACTTCAACCAAAGAGGAGTGTCTGTGATATTTCTGTTCAGAAGGAATCTCCTCCGTCAGATGGTATCACAACTAGCAAACAATCATGACAGATACCTGAAGCAATTAAAAGGAAAACATAAGGCCCATGTGCACACAAAAGATGAGGTGGTTCTTGATAGCATGCCTTTCAACTTCCACTTACAAATATTTGCAGTTTGTGAGTGTAAGATGTATCTTTCATTTTGCAGGCGAATATACTTGCAAAATACAAGCCTAGGCTCAACACAACAACATTAATGTGGAGTCTGAAACAGGCAGATGACTACACTCGCAAAGCTCTTGAAAACCTAAAGAGCGTCCGTCACATTACATTGTACTATGAGGATCTCATCCAAAACAGAACAGTGAGTTACTCTTGATTAATCTGTTGCATGTCGGTATATGATGTTGTTGTTGCTTATTCATACTACATTGACTTATACTTGCAGATGCTTGGTGAGGTGCTGGATTTCCTCAAAGTGCCAGTGAGGAAATTAGTCAGCCGGCATGTGAAGATACACACGAAACCGCTGTCGGATCAAATTGAAAATTGGGATGAAGTCTATAATGCCCTGAATGGCACCAAGTTTGAAAGTTTCTTGAATGCTGACTACCGAACATGACATTATTCTGTCTGCACGTTTCTTGTTTAGATATTGGCTCCTGCGTGTTTCTTTTATCTATTTAGTTCTTTCTTTTTATTGAAATGCTAGCCTAGGGTGTGCCTGACAAAAGTTGACATGGGGAATGGCGGGGTTTGCACGGTGGCTCACAAATCACAAGTTCTTTGATAGGTTCCACTAATTGTCTTGTATGTTCTTTTCAGTTTTTTTTTCTTTTCTTTGAAACTGATCAACAAGCTTCTAACCTCTTGCGTTCCACTGCTAATTATCACTTCTCAAGTCTTGCAGACAGTTCTTTTTACAATTCTCCCTTGCATGGATGTATGTTTAGCAGGTTCTGAAGACATGCATCAGAGAGGTTTCTAACACTGTTTGTTTCTTTTTCACACATTCCCATGTTAATTTAGACATGTTGAAATCTAAATGAGTCGCTTCCCTAAGTCCATTTTGAGAAATACAAGTGCAAATCATTTGAAAAAAAAGGAATACAGGTGAATACAATTACAATGTAGGCGGTGAATATTCCAGTCTAAATGAGGCACACACAGTGTCAGAATTGGGGTTTAATCGTTGCTGGGCTGGAGGTACAACAACCTCCTAACCATTGGATCTTGATATCCAACTACCTGCTGGTTCTTGATATTTAGGACATGTTTGGTTCATGACTAATTTGCCACAACTAACCTTAAGCAAACTGTGGCCACCACACAAAGTGTGTCAAACAAAATGGCTACCGGGAGTGTATCTTGTTGTTTGGAAAGGAGTTTTTATTTAGTTGGTTTTGAGATCATACTTGCATTTTAACATAGTGGCCTAATTGTGGCATGAACACTATGACCATGTTATTTTCACACACACATAGACAATATATAAATGTAATACTCCCTCTGTCCGGAATTACTTGTCTTAGATTTGTTTAGATACGGCTGTATTTAGTGTTAGATACATTCGTAATTTTTTTTTGAGAAAAGATACATTCATATTTAGACAAATTTAAGACAAGTAATTTGAGACGGGGGTAATATTTAACAATGTTCATACTGAAAATATCAATACATTTTTTTTTGAAAGATCCAGCTATGCTGGTTTTTCATTGATCATTAGCAGGAAGCAGTGGGGGAAAACAAGGTGATGGGGATCTAGAGGATCCGAGGGTTTGCCACAGATCGGCAATCCTCGTGTGACAGGGTAGCCTAGGGCTTATATTTCATGGCGGTTCCCCAAAGGGGCCCTCGATGCAGATTGCGCCCGCGACGCGCCATAGCTCGATGCAGTCCGTGATACTGAAAATATCAATACATTTTCATCAAAATGTATTTCGGACATATTAGTAAAGAGTTCCTAACAAGAGTGTACAGAATCCATGTATCCTTCGTACTGCAAAATGCACGCCGTCTCCAGGCTGCAAGGCTCCTTGTTGAGTGAAATGTGTCTTAAATAAGATACACCAGAAGAAATGGAAGTAGCTTAACACACAACAATTCTATCAGAGAATAAGAAATGTCGGATGATATCAGGTGTGCAAGAGAACATCAGCACAACGCGGAAACTTCCCAAAAGACGGTTTTGCATTCCTTTGTATGCGAGGAAAACACTCATCTGGCCAGTATTGTTTTTTTTTAATTATTGGTAGAAGAGCTGCCAAATTCATTGATTAGAAGGGGTTTACAAAAACACCCTCAAAGGAGGAATGCACCGCATGAAGGCAAGTGCCAAAAAAGAAGAAAGGAGAAAGGGTTGCTTGGTTTATTTGAGAAAAACCAGGCGAAAATATAAACAACACATAGCTGGCCAGCATTGTGGTCTTGTGGAAGAGTGATATTTGCCAACTTGGAGAAAATGGAGTAATGTAGCCGGTGAGTGAAACAAGCTTAGACCAAGTGGGCAATAAGATCCCCCTTGCGGAAGATGGGGTGGGCCTCTGTACGAGCCGGATTTTTTTTTTTGCGGGGCGAGCCGGATTCATTGCCGTCCTCCAGGCAAAGCAAAACCAGAGCTTCCCCTCAAAAGAAAAAGAGCAAAACCAGAGCTAGTGGTTTCAAAAAACCGGAGGCTGCTGCGGAGTACATGTTGGGTTTCGAGTGCATCGGAGTACATGTTGGGTTTCGAGTGCATCGAAAGTTCGCTCTAGAACCTCCGAGCCAGACTCCGGCTTGCATCCGGTTGAGATCAGAGCTATGATCTCAAACAGAGGCTACTCTGAATGTCGAACTGGAGGTCTGGTCTTTAACCTCCAGGAAAAAATATTATACAGAAGTCAACATTCGGTGGAAACCGATAAAAACCACGAGAAAACGATGTTGTGGCGTTTAAAAAAAATCTCAAAAACTCATGAGATGTTAAGAGGGTGACGTTCTATTGCCATGCAAAATTTCAAGTTCAAACATGTTGATGTGAGCGATGCAAAAGAAAAAAAAATCAGCATTGGATAGTGCCAACAGTCATGTCACTATTCATAACTCACATCCCTTAATGTGTTTTTACTTCAAATTTTGTATGACAATAAAACATCATCCTCTTAACATCCCACATTTTTTCCATATATTTTTAAAACTTTGAAACATGGTTTCGACAAAGTTTTCTTTGAATGTTGGTTTCTGTATGATATACTTCCAACCTCCAGATAGGCCTCCTGGATACGGCGAAAAAACCGATGGTTTTATTTTTGGAGTGCATTCTCTTGAGCCGGAGGTAGTTTTAACGTTTGTCAATGGGATAGGATTTCACCCCAAGTTCATCACGTGACCCCTCTTTGTAGTGCTTCCCCATGACTCAATTAATGTAAAAGATACATAATTTAAATCCACATTTTCCTTCTCTTAAATGGGAGAGGGGAGGAAACACTGCCCATATGCTTTGTAATAATTGTTAGTCCTTTAATCACATGTCATCTATAAACAGGGAACATATGTCCTTTCATCGTGCACTAGGGTTCCCTAAAACAGGTGAGATGTAGACCGATTAATGTGCCCAAATCAATGGGATTTTTTGACGGATTTCATGTACTTCTATTTTACAACTAATTCGTTTCACACATTTCAAATTAGCTAAAACTCATCGAAGATTGGTGCTGATTTAAAGCTCTAAACGTGTTGGATTCAAATATATAAAATGTTTCAAAACATAATTTTAGTTCAAAAAGCATATCAATACAAAATGCAACAAGAAAATAAATAAATCAAATGCCAGTCTTCAGTTTGGAGATCGAGAGAGAGCATGCAGCGAGCGTGTATGCTCTCGATGTTAAATGGGTCCCGCTGCCGCCGGCAGATGTAACTGCGGTTAATGTGGATGCTGCACTCTTCAAGGATTCTCAACGGATGGGAATTGGCGTGGTAATCAAGAACCACATGGGAGATTACTTACGGGCTTGCCGCGAGCGCGTTGATGAGGTTACCGCCCGAGAACTAGCTTAAGCACTAGCGCTACAACGTGCGGTGACTCAGGAAGGCTTTCCAAGGGTTGTTTTCCAAACCGACAGTTTGTCCGTTATCCAGAGAATCAATGCTTAGATGGTTGATTGCTCACTGGCAGGCTCATCACAACTGATATCAAGGAGCTAGTGTTGTTCTTCTCGTCCGTTCACTTTAGTCAAATCGTTTGAAGAATATCGCGACACATATTCTAGCTAGATCATCCAAGTCCTCTAGTGACTCTATTTTTCATGTAATCCCGGATTGTATTCGGGAGGCACTCTTTCTTGATTATCCTTATCAATAAAGCGTATTATTTCTAAAAAAAGCTTCATCTCTTTAGGTGTTGATTGTGTTATTTTTTGTCCAATTTTTTTATTAATTAACAAACAAGAATCTCTTTCGTAATTAGTGGAACAAATAAAGTTATTTTCTCGGCTCCAAAATGCATAACGGAGCAACGATACCAGAATTTCTGGTCCACGCCCCAGGAACAGCTTCGCTTTGCCTTTTGCGATAGACAGTTGCAGTTCGTACCTTCTTTGGACGCCGGCGAGGCAGCGATCTCCACTCCTCTCTGTCCGTCGCTTCAACGGCCGGAG